GGCACCCCGCACCGGGGGCGGGCAGCCGCGGCTCTCTCTCTGCCCGGGGACCCCCCAGCAGCTCCCGTGTCTGCCCGGGGACACCCCCCCCCCGCAGCCCCGCGACCCCCCTTACCCACACCGGGGGCTGGCAGGACCCCTGGGTTCGGGGCCTGCCGCAGTGACGGGCGCGTCGCGCCCACCCGGCACACCCCGGGTGGGACGGGGACCCCCGTAACGGGGCTGGGGGACCCCACCGGCTGCCCGGCACCCCTCTGCTGTGGCAGCACGCCCCGCGCTTGCTCGGGTGTGGCTGTGCCACGGTGTGCGGCACGCCGTGGCACGTGCCGTGGAGCGTGCCCTGCCAAGGTGCCCGCGGGGACCAGGACCGGCTGCTCGCCTGCCCGCAGCATCCCGGCCTCGGCAGCACGGGCGGCCGGCTCTGCCAGAGCGGCTGTGGCCCTTCGCCTGTGGATCGTGGTGCCCTGGTCACTGTGGGGCAACCCAGGTCTCCCCGTCCTTCCCGGGGCGGTGGCTCGGTCACCCCAGCACTGGAGCTCATCCTGGCCAGGGGGGCTGTTGGTGGGACCCCAGCAGCGGGGCACGGCAGCGTGGGCCCCTCGTGCAGCACCGGAGCAGGATGCCAGTGCCCGGCCTGGCTGTGTCCAAAAGGGAGCTGGGGAAGGGGGGGGGGGGATGGACAGCAGTCATGACACCCTAAGAGGCATCTCCCGGGCGGGGGGCAATGCCCACCCAGCTGCCACCGCCGGCCAGGGACAGACGATGGTCGCGGTTTAGTGTCACCGGCAGGGCTGATCCTGCCCAGAAGGGGACGGTCACCGAGCCAGACCCCTGACAAAGGAGGGTCCCGGCCACGGCCCAGGCCAGGTAGCCCCATCTGGGAGGGTGGGTGCCGGGAGGCTCGCTGGCGCAGACAAAAGCGGGGGGCAGCGGAGGGGCCGTGGCAGGCCGCGGGAGCAGCCCCTGGCCTCGCCTCGCCGCACAATGCGGCTCTGTGTGCGGCCGTGCCGCAGCCCCCACCATCCCAGCACAAAGGCCGGGGCCCAGCAGCCGCCCTGGCCCCAACAGGTGCCCCCCCGGCAGCGCCCGCCAGGGCAGGGGTCCCTTTGTCCTGCTGGGGTCACAGCTGTCCCCGCGCCCCCGCCCTGCCAGCCCCCGCGGCTCGGGGCTGGCAGAGCAGCCGGCAGGCGCTGGGGGGGCCGCAAGGCCCCCGAGATGGCCGCTCTGCTTTGTATGCCGGGAAGCACGGCCACAGCCCCCCGCCTCTCGGGGCTCGGCCAGGCTGCCGGCAGCGCCCAAGGACAGCCAAGCCCAAGGGCCTGCGGTACAGGGGTGCCGGCTGCAGTGGCGGGGCTGGGTGGGGGGTTGTCCCCGAGGATGGTCGCGGCCCCCCCAGCGTTTCTGCCCTGCCCGGGGAACCTGTTGTCTGGCAGAAACCTCCTGCCCGCCACGCCAGTGAGCAGCCACCACCACTGCTGCCTGATGCCGGCTGTGCCACCGTGCCGCAGCAGCTCTCTGGGGCACAGGCAAGAGCACGTGTGTTCCCAAGGCAGGCTGTGCCACGCTGGCACTGCAGCACGGACTGGGGGACAGAGGGGCAGAGCCCCTGGGGATGCTCAGTGTGAGCTGGGGGGGACTGGCGTGCCAGGCAGTCCACGGTGGGCAGCCTGGGCTGGGCACGGGAACCGGTGTGCCAGCTGGAGCAGTGGCTGGTGGTGCAGGAGGCG